AGGGGAAGGAATTTTCTAATTATGCTTCTCTTCAAATTCCCCTTAATCCTTGGTTAGGCCACAGTTTACATTTGTCACAAAAAGCTCTGGTTGCTTCAGCAGAGGTGTTACTGGAACAGATTTATGGGTTATTAATTCCTAAAACCCCCATGAACTTGTGTTACAACAATGACATTTTTAGGATTTTGTGATGGTAGAACACTGAATTGTTATGTATTTGTGTGATCCATGCATTTAGTGACCCAACTACTAATGATCAGCCACGTGTTCCCCCAGATAGCTTTCTGGAAAATTCCTTTCCAAACTAATTTGTGTGAGTTTAATTACACTGACAATTCAGAGACCTAGAAATGTAAGTCCAAAATTATTGCTGTCATAACAGCAGATCTGCTTAAACTCAGTCTCGAGGCTGTGCAGCTCTGTACCAACTTTGATGTGCAATATGTACAGGCTGAGCACAAACTACAATTTATGTATTTTTCTTTCAAACCACATTTCTAGGGTTTAGCTCTTCCCTCGCTGAAAATAATGATCATTGTTGATGTAGTGCAAATCTGTACTTAAGAACATTGCACTGTACATCTTTTGCTATATTTTGTCATTCATTTAAGCTCTTCTGCGGCTTTATTTAGACCAAAGAGATAAAGAGAGATTATTTTGACCTAAAGCTTTATGTCCCTTTCATATCGCTAACAAAATTTTAGCCCAAAGGATAAGAATTTATAATAATTAATTACAGATGCTGTCAGTTGCAACTGCAGCTCCTAAAGTTTATTATCTTACAAGATCAATCTTTTTTGCATGCTTTGTGGTACTGCTAAATAGAGAGTGCTCGATCCATGTATTTGGGGAGTACAAAAAGAAGGTGCTACGTACAACAGGTGGCATTTTGCACATTTCTTGCATTTGTTTTTGTGATCACGCTGGGTATTGTGTGGCTTAAGCTGCTCAAGACCTTCAGCTGCCTCTCTTTTTTGGGATTTAGGCATTCATTAGCCCAGTGAGATCACTTTGGCTTCCTTTGGCAGGATTTGATCCTGTGTATCTCCCAAGGTTAGCTGGAATTCAGAAATACAGTAAACACAGTTGAAACTGGCCTGTGTGTGTGTGTTTTAAGCCAATTTACAGTTGATGTGTGTCTACCAAAGATAAATGTTGGAAGGGTCTATAATCTGTCAGAAAAAGCTTTCAGATTATTGCTCTAAATCCACCATGCTAACAACAACAACAACAACAAAAACCAGACACTAATGAATTTGGAGTAAAAATTTTCAAAGGGCTTTTTCAAAAACCTTTCAAATTTCTTTTTAAAATAGGAAGAATGAGGATTTGAAATAGGAGAAAATAAAAATAAGAAATAGGATATTTTCTAGAATAGGAAATAGGATAATTCCTGCCAGGATACTTTCTCACTTCTTTTTTGTTTCAGATGCACATAAAAAGAAAGCCTTGCTGACTTCCCATATGGCTCTTTGTACACATGTCCATCAGGAAGTTTGTTTAGAGTATCCTAATTCTGTCTTACAGTCTGTGAAACTCCCTAAAAACTTCCTTTCCCCCTGTGATGGACCTTTCCTGTGTGTATACAAAACACTAAATATTTATCTTTGAAAATTTCTTCTGGTCAGCCAGTCTTCATCACTGCCATCCAGGTTACTTTGTGCCTGGCTTCTCCATCCCTGTCCCTAATTCTGTGTGTATGTACACCAGGGTTCCACCTGTTTGCCCACTGGGCTGTTCCCACTCCATTTCTCAAGCAGCATCTCATTTTATTTACTGCCCCATTTTTAATCTCTTTAATTCATCTCTGGTTTAGTTCTCTGCCTTCAGCAATATGGTTCATTTTCTTCTTACATTTAGTGAACTTTCAGAATTTAGTGAGAGCTTCAGTAGCTGTGTAATCAGTCAGTATATAGAGTTTGAAGCATCTTGCACACTTATCTTGGCTATATAAAATCCCTTTAGAGTTCCCTTTTAAAACTTTCTGCTGCTTTTGTCTTTTGCAAGAGCTTCATAGCTATGGAGCTCATGGTTTCACCAGTACATATTAAGTCTTTCTCACATCTATCCAATTTTATAAATAATTATGACTTGTAATTCCATACAAATTATCCTACTCTTACAATGCAAATTAGAAAATGATCAATGAGACCGACAGTGTTACGATCTTCTGTTGCCATTTGGAGCAGATGTTTTACCCATTTAAAAGTTTATTTTTTTCCCCTAGAGAAGTGAAAGGGATAAGATTAATGCCTTGTTATTCCATCTCTTTTTGGGAAGCCCACCCTAAATAGGCCGATCTCAAGTATTCACTGTGCTAAGTTCTCTCTGCAGAGCAGAAAGGAGAAGAGTTTCTGGAGGCTGGCTGCAGGGAAATGCAGCAGGTATTGAGATGCTCTCGCTGAGCTCTGTCCTACTCCCTGTAGTAGGGCTGATGTAAGATGTGTGTAGTGGCATTACCTGCTGTAAAGAGATTTTAGGTCCATTAGCAACTAAATACAAGAGAAAACAGATCTAGTATTGCTGCAAAAATACGTAAAGCTCTAAAGAGGAAATTCTCTTATCAGTACAATTCCATTTATTTAAAGCTATACCAATTTACTCGGGGTAATACAAGACACAAATCCAAACCAGTTGCTCAGATTTTGCTTAATTTTGTGACTGTGCTCTCTCCTGCAATAGCTCATGCCATCAAGAAAGGTTCCTAATTCTCCAGATGCCACTAAGGCATCCATGATAACAAAACTCCAATGGAAACTTTCCTTCCTTTTTATGTTGAGAGATATTTAAGATGAATGTAACGAGTTAAAAAATAAAAAAAAAAATAGAGAAATTAGGCTTAGCAGGTAAAGGGGAGGTGCGGGGCTGAGCCGGTTTTGTCCATTTGGTTTGTTTGTTCCAAGTTCTGAGGTGCCAAGTTCTGAGGTGCTTCCCAAACCAAGAGTGGAGAAACCTCGGGGCGCAGAGGGCGCGCTTCGGGAATGGAGTCGGTGCGAGGGGAAACACGGACTGGCTCACTCCCGGAGCACGGAATGGAGTCGGTAACTCGGAAAACACGGGCTGGATTTATCGCGGATTACAGAATGGAGGAGTATGGAATTTGCAGAGCACGGTGCCTGTCACTTGTTCTGCTCAGGAGATGGACCTGAGGAGCAGAGCAGGCAGCCAGGCCTCTGAAGGGAGACATAAAATTCATACTCCCGAGGGATCAAAGCACACTTGCTGTCACTTGGAAATTAGAGTTAGCACAGCTGAAGCCTGGGGTTCTGAGGACCTGCCTGTGGGGACATAGTGGACAGGAGAGGCTGTGGATATACCATGTTATACCTCTGTTGGAAGAATTTCTATTTCTCTTTTATATTGCACTAAAACTTGCCTTTTCTCTCCTGATTTTTGAAGCCTTTTGAGCTTCTTCATGGAGTTTGCTGCAGGGAAAAAAAAAAAATAGATAAAGCAGATCTGTCCAAATTCTTTGTCTGTCTTGGGGTCCTATCACTTGTTCGTTGACTGGTGGTTTTTTTGTGGGCTCAGCAGCTTTCTAAGGCAGCAGAGAAATCATGATTTGATGCTGACATTTGGGCTGTGGCTAATGAGGAAAGAGAAAGCTTGGCCATGGTGGCTTCCCCTAATATGGAAAAGCTATCACCTTGACTCTTCCCTGTGCAGCAGCCCCACTGTTCCTGCCAGCTTCTCTTAGCTGCAGAAGGTGTAACATTTTTATATCTGCTCTCCTTCTCAAGTTAATGTCTTGTTCCTGCCTACCTTATTCGTTCTGTACCTGTCTCTTATTCTGTTGTCATTGTGTTATAAAGAGAGAATTGACTAGTCAAGATGATTTCTTCCCTGCTGCTGCCAGGAGCCAGTGATGATAAAATAGCTAAAAGCAATTCCCAAAATAGCGGTGCACAGGTATAGGTTTGCCAGAGCGATTTGATAGCGATTACTCTATCGGTCCTTCTGTAGTGTTACAAGTCAGACCCAGCACTGTGAACAAAAAGTGCTCTTTCTTCCTTTGATGGATTTTTCTTCTTCCTCTTCTCTTTTTCTCCAGAGCTGAAAACCAGAACAGACCTTAATAGCAAAAGAACTGGCAGCATCTTCAGCCACTTCAACTTTTCTTTCCTTCCCAGATTAGAGGGAAGCAATTTTTCCACCTTCAGGAACATCCAAAGTTCAGTCTCAGGACTCAGGTCTTATCCTAAAGGCTCTGTGCACTGAGAGAGAAAGCAGTAATTTTGTTAAAATGGTGGGCTTGGGATTTAGCATTTTTAGTCATTTACCTCCCTTTTTTCTGTACCCCTCTCTGTGTGGAAGATTTCCAGTGGTAGTTGTTGCCATGGCACTGAGCAGGACGAGGTGTCTACTCCAGTCTCAAAACTGGATGTTTACGGCCGTACTGTGAAAAATTATCCCTTCTGACAACTGGGGGTTGTTTACGCGGAATTAACACACTGCTCCTCTTCTTCCAAAGTGGAGAGAGGCTCTTCAGGTCATTCCCTGTGTGTCAAGACAAATGTGAGCTTCAGCAGTGCTGGAAGAGCCTCAGAATTAGCTCTGTCCTTCCACTCCCTCGTTAGCTGTTCAAATGAACAACCGCTTCACGCCCTGCCGAGCAGCTGATTGGCCTTGGAGGGCAGAAGCATCTGAAGCAGTATTAATGTTTCATTCAAAATCCTGAGAGCCAGGGAGGAAGGGAATTAGGGAATTCAAAACCCCAAATCAGCACTGCCTTTTATTTCACCAGGTCCTGTTCTCTTGAGCAGCATCCCTAATTTTCTTCCACACTGGATTTCCTCTCAGGATGGTCTCTGCTGCCTTTGTGAGATGTTTTTGCCAAGGGTAAATTTAGCAACTCCCTTCCCTTTGCTTTTCTTTCTCCATTGTCTGCTCCTTCTCCCCAGCCCTGTTGACAGTATCTGCTATGACATATGCTGCACAGGAGATGGAGAGACAAAGAAACCGTGCAAGTCCCTCCATCCTCTCCTCCTTTCATTACTCAGGTCTTCACTGATGCATCAAGACTGGTGAAATTCCCTTTTTGTCTTCTCACCAAGCAAAGCAGATCAGAAAGCTGAAAAATTAGTGCCTTAAAATACTATCTCAAAGATATGTGAGCAAAGTGGATGTGATAAAGCAATCAGTAAAGGAGTGTAGAGGATTGCATGACAGCAAGAACAGCCAGCTGCATCTGGGAAATATGTAAGTCCTTGGACTCCAGCAGTATAAAACTTCCCATGCTGTAAAAGAAGAGCAATTCTTTCTTTTTTTGTGGCAGCCCCAGAGGTTTGAAACATGGTTGGCAACTAATAATTGCAACCATAGAGTCATTGACTTTGAAAGAAACATCCCCTCACAGTGGGCATTCACCTAAGATCTTGGATTAATTGTACATAGTATAGCACGTTCTGGGGTTGTTAAATTTGCAGATGCTGCTAACAAATAAAAATAGTTTTATTAGGACAGGAATAGAAAAAATGTTAGATACAGAAGTGTTGCATAACCAACCTTGATGAGCAGGGAAGCACCCCTTTTGCAGCATTTCAAGAAGTACTGTTCCCAGTAAATGCCAGCAAATAAATCCTAAATCCCTAGGTCCATCCTGAGATGAATATTAATACTGTTGTTTTTAAAAACCCCAATGTTGCCTATTCTATTACCTGTTAGCCTTTGGGGAAGAGGAAAAAAAAATCAGGGGAAAAAGGCAGCTTTGACAGAGTATTTCCTGACTCAGCAGTTGAATGAAGGTATCAAGGTTGAATCAAGGAAATGGAAGGACTTCACCCCAGCTGAGGACTGTGAACACACAAAACATCACAGGAGGTGCCTGCCTGTAATTCCTGCTAATCAAATATTACTCAACAGTGTGTCAAGACAAATGTGTTTGGCTCAGGGATGTTTTTTAGAGACAGGAATCGTGTTTTAGCTGGCTGCAATAGATTACTAGTTGGGGACTGTGAAAACTAAGGCTGTTTTTTTAATTGTGCCAGGCACTTGAGATGTGATCTTGTAGGAATCTGTCAGTGCTGGTTTTCCCCGCCCTTTCAGCTGTTTTTTCAGTACTGATATGCAGTAAAAATTCCTTCTAGTGCCCTGTCTGTAATCAGCAGAGAAAGCAGGGCATGTCTCAAGTGTGATGCCAGTAAAGCATTGAGCAGAAAACGGCCCAAAAAGCAGCCAAGAGAAAACAGTGGGCCCAAGGATTTAGGTGGAAAGTAGCCTGTCTGAATATGGCTCACTCTATTTCCATAGCAAACACAAAATAACAGCCTGGGCTTTGTTGGAGGCTCTCAGCACTTTACTCTTATAAATAATAAACAGAATACATTTTCTCCTGTGTGGGTTAGCAAATAGAAATGTGCCTCTGTTATCAGCAAGGAAGCCATAATTGAGAGGCAGTGATTTTGTGGAATACACATTCAAAAATGGGACTAAATAAAAGCATGAGGAGGATTTCAAAACTTCCATTTCTGTGCAGGTTTTCATGTTTAGCTATGGAATTTATTCATTATACTTTTTTGCAAGCTTGGATTTACATTCTCAGACTCAAATCATGCCACTCACTCCAGCCTGTGTCTGACACAGCAACAGCTCTAACAGGGTAACTTTAGGTAATCTCTTGCATATCCCAGCATTTTGCCATTTACTGCCCCATTTTCAGCATGATTTCAGAGTTTTGAGCGTTTGCTTTCATGGCCTGGCTTGGATTGCAAATGCACATCTTGGCGTGACACCATTTGAGACTGAAACTGAAAGGAATGTGGTCATGGTAATCCTCTTCACAATTTTGTAGCAGAAATGTTGAATAAAACGTATTTTTCTTGGAGAGGGACACATTTCTAATGTGCCCCATTTCCATTTTGTGGGATTAAAGAGTGTATTTTTACTGGCTCTATTTACTTGTTCTTAAGGATATCTGTTTCTTTATTCATTTCAGTATACCTCAATGTATGTTGTATTTCATGTTTAGGAAACTTACAGTATTGACTACCCTTGCTTGAAAGTCTAGAGAAATTAAAATGGGTGGAGTTTACTCAACAGCCCACTAACAGCACAACTTTCACAAGTCTTCTTCTTCTTTTTTGTCAGTTTTTTTCTTAATTAACGTAATCACATGCTTACAAGTGGAAAGTTTTCTGGTTTTTTAACATTCACATTTAGTCATTCGAAAAATTATTCTTTCTTTTCTTGCAGTCACCTGAGTCAACCCAATGGTGGGAATCATTTTGATTTTAAGGACATGGGATCACAGGGACTTCCTGAGAAAAGGTACAAGGTCCTGAGTCTAAAGAAAAACTTTAATGTTCATGTAATTCAGTTTTAGGTATGTTTTTTTTTTTGTAATACAATCAAGCTATTAGACAAGTGGTTTTATTTTATTCTTTCAACCTCTTTTTCTTTATTTATTTTGAGCTGCCATGTCTAACTTGGATAAGAAGTAGATACTGGTGGGTGTCTTATCCACCTGTGTTGGATGACAAGGAAGAAAGTACCAAGTTGTCAAAAAAAAATAAATTATCCTAAAATCATTCCACTGAAGTGGCTGAAAAGTTAGCAAATCCCACCAGTGTATTCCAGCTAGCAAGAAAAGTGGGATGTAGCTGTCTCTGGAGAAATCAGAGCCCCATTACTTTTTTTAGAGACCAGAAGATGAAAAAAACTATGGCTATAAATTTACCATCCATTCTATTTGCTTTTCCCTTGGAAGTAGCAGAACTTTTAAAGTTCTTCAAAGTCAAGGAATCCCCCAAATCTGAGTGCAAATCTTGGGGTAGGAGAGATGTGAAAGCTCAGTGTTTCCATGCTGTTCTCTTCAGCATCCTGCAGCAGTGCTCTGGTTTCTGGGAACAAGGGGCTGACACCAACATCTCCCTGGAACTGCCTGTAACTCTGGGAGGGAGATGATGAGAGCAGTGGTTCTCCCCTTGGAACAGGCTCAAGGAAGAGCAGCCATGTGTCTGCAAGAAGAAGGTTTCAAGGCTGATGGTCCTTTCTCTACATCCCATTTGTTTGTGTGCATCCACCTGGAGAGAGCCTGCTGCGTGCGTCATGTGAAAAGCGTATCACTGATTGTAATTGAACTCATCTTGAAAAAACTCTGCCAAACCCCTGATCATAATTTCTCTCCCTGGTAAGGTTGTTTATCTTCTCTTCCTTGTTTATTGCTTGAGTGAAACTAGCACATTTGAAATTCTGGTTTAGAAGAAGTAGGATACTGTGCAAGTGGTGGTGTTTCGCTGCAGAATAACCCCCAGAGGGATTTGTAATCCCCTGGTGCTATCATCCAGTGGGGAGCCAAACTGAATAATAAGCTCGGTACTATGAATTCAGCCTCATACTCAGCCTCATTCTGCATTGGTTAGCATTGCCTAGAAATTAATTAGTGCTCTGTATTTATGCTATCAATGGCATCCAGTGGCTGGCCTAAACACGCTGGAGCTGCTGGCAGCAGCTAGATGTACGTGCAGATATTTTTTTCTCCCTCTATAAATACGTCCTGTAGACTGTCTTTTAAAGGAGTTGTTACTTCATCTTCCCCACAGCTAAACACAACCAGACAGCACCTGCTGGACATCAGTCAAAGATGCACAATGACACATGGTTTTCTATTAATGTTTACAGGATTTGGAATGCTGTAATTGATTTTGGCACTGAAAGTGCAGTCTGGTAAATTGCTTGTCACCCTTGTTTCATCCCCGGTCTCATTGAGAATCTCATATACAATTAACCATAATTGCTATACTGTGTTTATTCTAAAGCACACAGCACATTGCTGGTTTGCTGTTTGGTTCTCAAAAATGGTGAGTTAATTGCTTACAAAAACACAGCTCAGACTAAGGGCACCTCTGTGGCAAGGGACTTTCCTTCAGAGCAGAAAACTACGGAGCCTTTAACATTGTTCATGTTCCAAACTCATGGCCCTCCTGTACCTGAGATCTCCCTGACTGCAGGGACACTCACTTGTGCATAAAGGCACGAGTCAGTCTCCATTTCCAGCTTGTGGGACACAGCAAGAGGAGCTGGATTCCCACCTGGGTGGTTACAGACCAAAGTTACCAAGTTCTTATACTGTCTGTAGGACAGAGCAATTCCTTCTGCATGTGGAACTGGGCAGGAATTCTTTCAAGGAGCGTATTTGCTCCACATCCTCTGGGTCACAAGGTGGAACCAGCACTGAATGGCTCACATGAATTCCTCTGCCAGTTTATCCTGGCAATATTTTCTATTTAAACAGCCAAGGCTCCAGAATTAGCATGGACTGTCTAGAAACCTCAATAAAACAAAGAGCTTTGCCAAGAAACAGTCTAGGACAGAAAAAAAACAAAAAAAAAAAAAAAAAGAAAAAGGGGTAAGCCCTTCTCACAGATCAACAACGGGAATCTGCAAAATCTTCCTTCCCAGGAATGAAGAGCTGCATTGTCTCCTGCTGTCATCCAGGGGCTGGATGCTGGAGGACAGCTCCCGTTCTCAAGTTTAGAATGGGAGCACCTGCTCTTTTCATGTGGTAGTGGATTGTTCAAGGGGGACCTAAATCAGAAAGTTCCTTGCTGTCCTTGCTAAAGCAGAGGATACTCTTCTGTTCTTCACGTTAAGAAACTAGCTGTTCTGATTTTTTTGTAGAGAAAATAATTTCAGGAGGTAAGATACAGATCGAGCTAAATTAACTTAATTAAAGGGAATGCAAATTCAGTAGAATACATTTTCTAGTAGAGAGTGTAGATTCTACTTGCTGCAAGCACAAAATATCTCCAACAGTCTGGCTGTGACAAATAGTGGCAATAATTGTACGTCTAAAACGTTAAAAATATCTTCTATCAGAATGCTGGATGAAAAGAGGAATTTTTAATTTCCTTTTTTAACTCTTGCAAATTAAAAAACAAGCCTAAGTACCATGGACTGATTTCCAGGATATTCAAACTAGTTTAGATCTGACTTTTAATCCAGTTAATTATTTTGCTATTCTCCATTCAATTAATTATCAGATTAAGGTTCTCATGTAATATGTAAAATGGTCTTTTGATAATGAAAGATTATGAAAGAAATGCTGCAGAATTTGCTTCAGAAGAAAGCACAGCAAGATTGAAATCTGCAGAATTCCAACTTGAAAGAGGCTATTAACTTTGATAGCAATTGCATGTCCCATTACAGTTCCATATTCCACAAGAAAATGGGGTGCATCACTTGGGGCATGGAAGACAACCACAGATGTTGATTATAATTGATTTGGAAAGTTGTGGTTGCACAGGAAGGACAGAGAAAGGCCAACAAGATGATTAGAGATATGAAGCATCTCTCCTACAAGGAAAAGCTGAGAAAATGGAGTTTGTTCAGCCCAAAAAGAGGAGGTGACCTAATTGTGGCCTTCCAGCACCTGAAGGGAGCCCACAGGAAAGAGGGAGAGGCTCTTTTGGTGACAGGACAAGGGGAAATGACTTCACACTGAAGGATAGTAGGTTTAGATGAGATATGAGGAAAAATTTAATTTCTGTGAGGGTGGTGAGGCCCAGAGAAGTTGTGGGTGACTCATCTCTGGAAGTGTCCCAGGCCAGGTTGGAGAGAGCTCTGAGCAACCTGCTCTGTTGGAAAGTGTCCCTGCCCTTGGCAGATGGTTTGGAAAGCAGATGAATTTTAAGGTCCCATCCAACCCAAACCATCCTATGATTCATGGTGTTTCAGTCTTCCTGGAATCTACTCTGGGAAAAAAAAAAAAAAGAAATTCTTCTATTTTACAACCTAAGAATTGATGCTCAGCATGAGTTTTTTTCACTCTGCAGGGTTGGTGACGTGGCTTTTCAGCTGCCTGTGTCACTTTCCTCCTCCAAAATCTGTTCATGCTCTCAGTCCTTCACGTGTTGGCCGTGTGCCTGCGGCTCCCAGGAAGCAGGTGCGTTTGGAGAGATGACAGCTTTCTCAGGACTCAGTTATTTAATTAACTCCTTTTTAGCTGGGTTATTTGAAAAAGCTGTCCCACCTGCCTGGTGGTCAATACCTTGCTTGTGTGCTAAGCAATGCTTGTCAAACTCCCTGCATCCCTTCCATTCAGTTGTGTCACGCCTCTCTGGGAGCACAGGGGGGTTTCTGGACTCACAGTGAGGAGGGAGAAGATCCAGGTTCCATTTTTAACTTTTCAAACCGTTTTACAAAGGCTCTCCTTGAGAACTGTGCTATGTCTTGGGTTTCTGCTCCTATTTCTAAAAAGGCATTTAAGTAACTCTGACATTTTTAGAGGGAAAAGCTACTTAGTGATAAATGGTTTAATCACTGAGATCATTTAACAGCTTTGTTCTACAGTCTACTTGGTACTGTGAATAGAAAAACAAACAATTCTTCAAATATCCACTAGGGTCTCTGAGCACATTTCTGCACTGTTTACATTCCATTAACATTCTTCAGACAAAGATTTACTCACAGGTTTTAACTGTGTATGTCCAGACACATTTTATTGCTTTCTTGCAGCTTTCATGGGTAAATCTTGAGTAAAAAATAAAAATAAAAATGACTCACCCCATCAACAATGGCAGATTCATTGATTATTTAAATAAGGACAGAAAGCTGTCACTTATGTCTCAGATACATAGCAGAGGTCACTGAACTTAAATAAAGACTGAAAAAAAATAGCTTGCAAATTGCTCTTTAAAACACCTTTTAAACACCTCCAGGGATGGTGGCTCAGCACCTGTAAGGTCAAGGAGGGAAGTTTGCATTTGGCTTTCCCACACAGCTCCTTAGAGCTGGATCAAAACTGAGCAAGCAGCTGTGGCTCCAGCCATACAGATCTGTCCTGCTCATCATCAGTCAATTTTTAGACCACCAAAGCCCTACAGGCAATGTCGTTTGTTGAGCTTATGTCAGTGGTCATTTTATATGTGTTTGATACATGAGAATTTTATCTTTCCACTCATGCTGATGTAACTTAGGCTTGGGGTGGTCATGGGTGAGTGTGTATGTCAGAGGGGAGGGATGGAGAGAGGGAGAGGAACAGGAGGCAAAGGAGAAACCTCTGAACACACAAACCAGTGGAAATGGGTGTGTATCCATCTGCAGCATTGGAAAAATGGAGTGTGTGAAGTGTTCTGTTCATTGGCATAGAGGGAAATAGATTAAAATCTTCAGGGCAGTTTTAAAATATTAACCATTCGTATTTTAGTTGCTGGATATTTTGAAATGCATTGAATAAACACACTTCTTTATAGTGGTTGGTACTCTTAAATAAGGTTCAAGATGCAGCCATTGCTATAAATGACATTTTGTATGAGCATGGGAGCCTC